ACGTGTTTTTAATAGTTCCATGAGGGTTGTGGCAGTTTTACTACAGCAAAAAAGGGGTTGAAAAGCTTGGCAGTGTACAGTATTGTTGAGTCTACGTACTGGCATTACAAGTTTTTCCTAGTGCAAACTATTTGACTTGAAATGACTCTCACAGAATTGGTCCTAACACTAGTCTTGGCTGCAGATGTATTATTATTTGCTTGATGTTTTGTCTGTAAGTCTTTTGCATTTATGTCCAAATGACAATTTAAGAGAACTGACACAAGTACATCAACTCATTTTAAGTGTTGTTATATAAAGCTTCTTGGAGTTCTGAAAGCATGGAAGATTTCTCATGCTTTCTTAAATCAAAAGAAGCAACAAATCTGCAGTAATTGCTGTCAAAACAATTTGCAATTTAATATGTGAATGAAATAGCATATTCAGTTAGCTTGGCAAAATACAGTATCTGTAACTGAAGCATCAAAGGGATCTCTCATTTAGAATGGAGTAGGAGCCATGTTGTAAATGATTCCAGTATTCAGTGTATTATTGCTCCCCCTTAGATAACTTCAGTTGAGAGGAGAAAAAATAGCTTCTACTGTATTTGATTTAAATTACTTTCTTCTTATAGGTATCAAATTTGGTTCTAGATGGAGCTGTGCTGCCATTATGAGTTTTTAAAAGCCTTTTACTGTGCACAGCAGAAGTACCACTGAATGAATATTAGTTTTTTATTTCTTCTTTGTCTCTCTATGGCATACAGTGAAATATGAAGTATTTGTAGTTCTAAGAACAAAATTCTGTTGGTGCTAATTTAGGCAGAAACTAGGTGGAGTGTCTTACTGTTAGAATTCACATTCACAAATTGCCACATTTTAAATATTTTCTGGAAATTTCTGAAATGTGGTAGCTTTTTGCATGACTGTGAGCAGAATGGAGATTATTAATAAAAACAAATTTAAAATTTAAAATCTTTTGACTTAATGTTTTATTCATAAAGCAGTATTGTTTATTAAATGAAGAAACTGAATTTTCAGCCAAGCCAGTTTAACCAACTTAAAACTTTTTTCCCGGTTTGAATGATTTTCTCCAAAGGATTGATGCCTTCCTCCTGTACCAGCAGAATAAGGTGTTGCTGTTAAAAGTTTGTTTGTTTGCTTGTTTGTTTATTTGTTTATTTACTTACTTACTTTATTTGTATGCCATCCATTCCCTTAGGCTCTGGGCAGCTAACTATCAAAATAATCATACAAAAGAATAGCCCCACAAATTAATGAATAAACCCCCAGATGTAAACAAAAATTACCAGCATTAATAATTATAAACCAGGAAATACAAAGTCATGTGCTTGCTAGACTCCAGTCTTTAGTCACAACATACTCTCCTCCTGTGCTTGATGGAACAATCAGATCTTGACTGTCCTCCTGAAGCTTAGGAAAGAACAAGCAGGGCGGATCTCCAAAAAGAGGGAATTCCAAAATGTGCGGACAGTGGCTGAAAATGCCTGCTCCCAAGGTCCTGTCAGATGACATAAGAATGGGATCTGGAAGTAGTTTGACCCTGTTCGACCTGTTTGGATGGACAAATGAAGGTGGAAGAAGGCAGTCCCTCAAATAACGAGATCTCGAATCATGTAGGGTTGCAAGCAGTGGAGACCACAGTTTCAGTGGTCTCTGAATCCAAATGTTTAAGTGCTTCCCTTCAGCTTATTGGTGTGACTTTCTTTAAAACAGCATCAGCAAACATGTATTTCTTGAATAGATGACCCTTTGCTCTAAATGTTATGATAGCTGGCATTAAGGAAGGATGGTTGCTGGATGCCCATTCAAAGCCATCAACAGTCCCTCAAATAACGAGATCTCGAATCATGTAGGGTTGCAAGCAGTGGAGACCACAGTTTCAGTGGTCTCTGAATCCAAATGTTTAAGTGCTTCCCTTCAGCTTATTGGTGTGACTTTCTTTAAAACAGCATCAGCAAACATGTATTTCTTGAATAGATGACCCTTTGCTCTAAATGTTATGATAGCTGGCATTAAGGAAGGATGGTTGCTGGATGCCCATTCAAAGCCATCAATTAAGAATTGATCCTGGTATTTGAGAACATGGGCAAAAGAGGAGCGGGAGATCCTGCTTGATCCATTTTTTATAGGGCCTTTTACTTTAATGTTATTGTTGCTCTATTTCTCTTTTTAAGATTATATCCAGTTCTTTCCAGACTTCAGGAGAATAAGAAATTAAAGTCATTTCTCTGTGCCGTCGGAACAAGCCATTTCGGATGTAGCTCTATGAACAATCCACTAATGTGTTCTGTTAGACCTCTGGGCAAGAATTAATTTGTTTTCCCCTGCTTTCTTCAAAGTAGCTATTGCTAAATTGTTATTGCAGAAGTGCTGTGCAGAATTTACTATGTTATGCATTTCATTTACTACTTTCTTCTACATTTTTCTCCTCTTGGATGCATTTGCATCATTGCCTGTGTGGCAAAGTTGTCTGTTCAGCATATGAGCTTCTTTTGGCAGTTTCAGCTTTTATTGGTATTTATAAATACAGTAGGACTGTGTGATGCCGGGTCTATGATTTCATTAAGGAAGATATTCTCTTCTTCTTTCAGAGTTGTTTGGTGGTTTTTATTGCTCCCTTTTTATATTCACCACAATTAATAATTGGCATTATTCCCATATTTGGCTATTTCACTGTTTATCCCAATTCTGTTTTCTGAAAAGAATGTGGAAAAAGTGATGACAAAAATAATGTTGAGCAAAGACTACAGCAGCAGAGAAAGATTGTTACTATATTTGTTATTAATGTTGCTGATAGGCACAAATATGTGAATTGATCTTGATAAAGGACTTAATTCATGAAACGTGGCATATTCTGCAAAGAACAGCGGTTTGATGCTTATCAGACACTATCACACTATCACATGATAGCGTTTGCTACCATAGACAAGCTTATTCATGATAACCATGGCTTTATGGAAATATTGATGTGAAAATTGAGAAAGTGTCTGAATCCTTTTGAAAATTAGTTTTCTGGAAAAGAGCTCTGGGCTTTAGATGAGAGAAGCTATATGTCTAAATTTCTGAGCAGATGCTAAAGATTTAGTTCTATTTTTCAGCAACCTTCCTGCCTATCACTTTGCAAAGTATGCCATAAATAAACAGGAGTTTTACTTCTCCATACAATACTTCTATCTGTGAGATTATATAAAGCAAAATGTATTTATGAAATTCTTAGCCATTTTATTCATGCCTTTGTAACTGAAGTAACACATTTATTCTAAGGAGTATATGTGCATATTGCCTAATGTAGTCCTTCTGTACCATGGTGCTTTTCAGATATGTTTTGGCCAATAGCTATTGTGGTGTTGACTACATAGAACTTGGCCGTTTTAGCAAAATCTGTGTGTGAGTTACCCAGTGGTGGTGGATCCTACCCTTCTAGGATCAACTTTATATTTTATTAAAAACCTGAGATCCATCAACCACAGCTAGTTAGGGAGTTGGTAAGCTAAGAATAAAACAAAAAACTTGACTATCTATGAACATATGGTTGGCCTATGAATCATGATCAGAACCCAGTGCCTATGTCCTTTTACTCAGTGCAGTTGTGTTTTCCCCTCAAATGTTGAATTTAGTAAAAAATTTTAAAATATCAACTTATTGTCCAAGTTACAAAGTTCAAATCACAATGATTTAGGGGTTTTTGTTGTTAGGATCAGAGTATTTTTACTTCTAGTATTAGGAAGCCTTTATTAAATATATAATCAGTAATACAGTTATGTAATCTATAAAATGGAAGACATGGATCTGTCTCCTTTGTTATCACAGCTATTTTGTATCTCAAGCTGAATTAGCATAACCTCACATCTGGGTATGTAGGTAATCAGTACAATATAATTGTGGCTACATTCATATAAATGAGGAAAGCTTGACACCGTTTTGATACTGGATTAATGCAGATAATTACTGTATAAGGGCTATGCTGTTTGTTTTCCATTTCCAGCATGGAAGATACATTGTAATAAGACATTCTGAATAATATAGAATGTGGAGTCTAATTCACTATGCAGGTGTTCTGCTGTGTGTATGCAGACCTTTAAATAGGTGGGAATGGAAATTTTAGATTTCAGAGATGCCTTTTGTGGAGGATTTTGAATTGGACACATGGCAAGTTAGAGGTGGTCTCATTTACCCCAGATTGTCCTTTCCATTGTCAGGTTTAGTCTTCATGCCAAGTCAGATCACAACCATAGTACTGACTGGTTTTTACAGTGATATTGCTGATGCATGTTCCCTGATTTTTAGCACCTATCCTATATCTGCTAGTTTTTTGTATATATTGCTAGTTTAATGTTTTGAAACATTATTGTTAACACAAAACATTTTATGGGATGCAAATGTTTTGAATAAAAAATTATGTTATAATGCAGAGAAGAAGTGTTCAAGATAAAATGTTTTGAAGGCAGCATGATAGTTATAAAACAATACTTTAATCTCTGTTTTCTTTTTCTTTTTTTTCAGATCTTGAACCTGATGACTGTGCATCTTTATGCATTTTCAGTGTAGACCACTCATCATCGGTAAATCATCCTATTTGTATCCCATGTCATGGATTTCAAACACACCCTTCTCCTTTGTCTTCACCTACTAAATTGCAGAGTCATAAAAGCTATGAAGGAACATGTGAAATACCAGAATCTAAGTACAGTCCACTTGGTGGGCCTAAGCCTTTTGAATGTCCTAGTATTCAAATTACATCTATCTCTCCAAATTGTCATCATGGAATAGAAGCCAGTGAAAATGAATTGCACACAAATGGCCCTCAGAATGAATATATGGAAAGGCCTTCAAGGGACCATTTATATCTTCCTCTTGAGCCATCTTACAGGGAATCATCCCTTAGCCCAAGTCCTGCCAGCAGCATTTCCTCTCGGAGCTGGTTCTCAGATGCCTCGTCTTGTGAGTCAGTCTCTCATATTTATGATGACGTGGATTCAGAACTGAATGAAGCTGCTGCTCGATTTACCCTTGGGTCACCTTTGGCATCTCCTGGAGGTTCTCCAAGAGGCTGTCCAGTTGATGATCCTTGGCAACAATCATATGGATTTGGGCATGCCTTGTCACCAAGACAATCTCCTTGTCATTCTCCTAGGACTAGTATCACAGATGAAAATTGGCTTAGCCCAAGACCAACCTCAAGGCCATCATCAAGGCCTACGTCACCATGTGGGAAGCGCCGACATTCTAGTGCTGAAATCTGTTACATTGGTTCACTTTCTCCTCATCATTCTCCTGCTCCATCACCAGGACATTCTCCTAGGGGAAGTATTACAGAAGATACATGGTTAAATTCTTCTCTCCATGGTCTGACTCCAGGCCTTTCAGCTTTTCAGTGTTGTGGAGATACTGACATCCCTCTTAAAACAAGGAAGACCTCTGAGGATCAAACTGCAATTATATCTGGAAAAGTAGAACTTTGTTCTGAAGAACAGGGCAATCTATCACCATCCCTTGAAACTGCAATAGATGATAGCTCTGTATCCCAGCATATGTTAAAAAAAGATTTGCCTGGTGACCAATTTCTTTCTGTTCCTTCACATTTTACCTGGAGTAAACCAAAGCCTGGCCATACTCCTTTATTTCGGTAAGTAGATTAAAGATAATGAAATTAGACTTTCTGTCTTTTGCCTTTCTGTTGATACACAGTGTGGTGGGTATTCACATATTGACTCAATGCCATGTTATATTCTGAAAGTATTCTACTGTAATCAGATCTTGTAATGCCGTATCAATATTGAAAAATCTTTCAGATTACTGCTGAATGGGCTGTAGTTTTTCATTATACTCAGCAGAGGCTAGAAAGCATAGGGATATACCCTTGGGTAAATCATGGCTAGGGGTTAAATGAATGATTTGTCGGTTTCCTTCTGCATGGCTATAAATATTTAAAAGGCTAAAATAATTTACAAGATGGTTTTGTACTTTCCTCACAAGGTATTTTCCAGAAACATTAGAATGCAGTTCCTACAATCCCCAAGCAGCCTGGTTATTCATCTGAATGTACTCATGCATGGGAAGCTTTCAGATATCTAACTTTAGCACTCTAAAACAAACCAAGAACCTTTAAATTATAAGAATTTGTGACCAAGATGGTCACGGGTCTTTCTGTCATTTAGTAAAACTTTTGTCACTTGCAGTGGGCTAAGCAAATAGTGTGTGTGTTTGTGTGTGTGTGTGTGTATGTGTATGCGTATAATTTAGACCTATTTTATTGTACGTATATTTTTATTATTTTGGATTTAATCCAGGCATATGTATGTTTAATACACACTTGCAATATTTTAAAAATTAATAGTTACGTTGATTGATTGCTTATGTGCCATGAAGTCAACGTCGACTCTTAGTGACTACATAGATAGATTTTCTCCAGGAATTTTCTAGTTGCATTACTCTTATTCATATAAGGTCTTAAGTGTGAAATAGGATAAGTAGCCATTTGATCTTAAATAAGATTAAATGTGCTTGCTAATTCTCTCTAGGATAAGCTGGGTTAGTGACCCCCATCTCAAAATAGTATATGAAAGCTTCTTAGAAATCTGACTCTTTGTTTGAATCTCTCTGGAGTGAGAATGCATTAAGACAGATAGGTTAACTGATGATGCTCAGCATGCTGATTAATATTTTCTAACTTGTAATAATTAGCAGGCAAAGGCAATAATTGTTGAGTGTTGTGTTTTAGCTTTGCTTATCAGTTTTTTCTTCTTGCAAGGTTCTGTATTTGTATGCTGGTGTGGTGGGAGGGAATATAGTTAGCTGCATGAACGCCATTCCTCAGGTAATTGGTTTCTCTTCCTTGGAAAAGATTAAATGTATTTTTTTTTTTTATCCGCACTCAATTGTTACCGATTCTGCGATGACTGCCTGGACGAGTCCCTGCAGTTTTCAAGGCAAGGTGTTTCGGAAGTGATTTGCCAT